GGGGGGTGGGGGTGGGGCTTTAGAGGGAAGGGTCATCAGTACAAATTTGAGCTTTTGTGGAGGGGGAAACCATTTTATTTTGGCAAATGCTGTTTTTAAGGGAGAGGGGCTACTTTTAAAACATTTGCTGCTAATCCTTCAGCCCTCTACTCCCCACCCCCACCCCTCCCTCCTAAAAAACGTTGTACCTGACCTTAAGAAATATATGTTATTTACCGGCCAAGAGGTTCAGATAGGGAAAAACTGTGCCTGAGGTCTTGAATATATACAGACTGAGGCTGTTAGGTTGAGGTCCATTTCAAGACCGAGGGCACAGTTTTTCCCTATCCGGACTGAATATATCATGGCAAATAACTTATTTGTTTTTTCCCCGTATTCTTTAACTTGTTTTTGTTTCGTTGTTTAGCGGCCAAGGATACCACACAGCGACTGTGGGCAGATACTGATAAAATACCACCTGCTTAAAAAGCCAGTCACCATGCACAATTTTTAGAATTACGGACTGGGAAAAAATAAATAGTATTATTCTGCTATCACTATTCATAAATCTTAGCTTTTTGATCCCTTATGATGTGCGTTTTTTTTGTTGGTCATATTTCAGGTCATGAAGGGAACCAGATTGGTTTTGATGGTTATCAGGTAGAACTCTGAGTGTATTTTTGGTATAAGCCCTTTACACTATAGCATTTATCCATTTTCTGTCTGTATTTGAATATTTTAAGGTATCAAACCAATGTATGGCTCTTGTACGAGATGACTGTCTGCTTCCAACCATTGATGAGCCAGGTCTTGGTTATATCAGGGAATCATCCACTGATCAATATGTTCCTGACGTATTTTACAAAGTAAGAGCCGAGTTATTAAAATAAATTTGAAAAAAAAAGTAAGAGAACCAGCATTATCAGTGTTCTTATTCAACTTTGTTTTGGCTACCTGTGTTTCCTTCTCATTTGATCCTCAATGTTGGGCTACCTGTGGTAATTTGTTATTGATTACGAATGTTGGGCTACCTGTGGAAACTTACAAAGTAAAAGCATGCATAGCAAAGCCTGGTTTTTACTTGTGCATAAGCACAAGCAAAGGCATAAGAGTGTACGTTTTACTTGGTAATTCAGTGACACAAGCATAAGAATGCAACATTTTAATCCTTATGCTTAAGTCTATGCTTATGCTTATGTCACTGGTAAGGACCAGCAGGACTGTCAATCCCAGGGATATTCAAATCTGGAGAATTGATGGGGAAGGGACATGACCTCACAGTGGAAAAAACTTGCGAAATGATGTCATTTGCTTTGAAACATTTGATGTCTGCAGTTTATTTCTGACCAATCAGATTATTGCTTATATTACAATGGCCTGCTTGCAAGAACAGTTTACAAGGAATGTTTTGATTTTGTTAGCGATGTAAAATAACACAAATAACACAAAATAATTGGAATTTTATGGTTGTGAAAGTCTAGTTTCACTAGAAATGGTCAGCTTCAGTGGTTATCCGGGAGATTTGAGACTCTGGAGGCCGGGAAATATGGTCCAAAATCTGGAGACTCCCTGTTTATCCAGGAGAATTGACAGCCCTGTCACCAGGCTTAAGAATGACCAAGACTTGGACTGAGAGGAGTTAATCATGAGTGTTAGGCTACTTGTTTTATATGGAGTATATCTAAAATTATTTAGTTTGCAATGTCATTTATTATAGAATGTTGTTTATTTTTATATCTATAGGATAAAGATTCATATAACAATGAAGTAACGCTCCTAGCAAGACCTATGCCGATAGAGTATGTTCTTGTTCAGGTAAGCATTATCTTACTATTTATAGCATTATTATTGTGTATTATTGAATTTATCTTATTGTTGATGGATCTTTTTTGCAGGTTTCAGCAGCTTTTCCAGTAGAACCTCAATATACATTCCCAAGAAAAGGTGGTGTTTTTCCCATTGAAAACAGAGAAAATATTGGAGAATTTCAGGTGAGATTTGTCAAACTTCCCACATCAATAATAACTGTACTTTGCTTTGGCATAGAGTTCTTTACTTCTTTAACATTTCAGACCATATGTCGTTCTCTAGAGTATCATTTCTTTGTTTAACTGTTACTCATGAGAAGACACATGAATATGGATAACAACTCAAACAAACTTGAAAAAGGTACTTTTAGGTATACAATTTAGTAAGAAAATGTTGTAGAAGAGAATGTTTCTCTGTCATCTAATGTCAGCGAAACGTTGTCTTTTACAGCTAGTTTTCTTACTAATCTCAAACAAAGAAATCTTATTCTTAAAGAGACAGGTGGTTTGAATGGGAAAATATAACACCCAAAATAAAAGGATCTATAATATCTCACTTGTGTGCTTCATTTTTCCCTCTAGAATCTCGATGCCATCACAAAGCACATGGCACAGTATCATCCTGGGGAATTTCTAGAGGCCATGACCAACTTTCATTTACTGGTCTTCCTTGCAACCTGTGATATACTGCCGACAAAAGTTAGTCACATTAACTATCATTTTTATACTGGCTCATGATACTCTATCTATTAACACTAGTGAGGAGAGGATCCCAACAGTGAGCCAACATGAGTCTATAAAACCTCGTACATCTTTGAATTTTCTTTCCAGTGCCAAATTTTAGTCATAACCCTTCTTTCACATCCCTATAGAACCAAGAAAGTTGCATAAGAGATTAGTCTTCACGTATTTAAGCCATGAAATTTGCCTGTATTCACATACTACCTCGCTTATTCCCGTACTTGTTGCTCACTGTACACCACTCCAACAAATTTCCTTCAGTAACCAACCCGATTTCACAACAGAGTCTTCGTATCGTAAATGCAGATTTGTATATAGTATTTCTTCAAAATAATAAGTTAAATATTTTAAATATATCTTTAAAATATATCTTAAAAATACACACATTATTCTAACCACTAAAGTTTATTTCATGTTTCAATGATTTTATTGAAAGTTTTGATGAATTCCCATACATTTCCTTATAACATGACACCACAGAAACCAAGCTTGGGCTACCTGTGGATTAACATTGTATTCATTTTGTGTCTGTGTTTGGTGTCTTTCAGAACCAAATAACACCACTATGCTTGGCCATAAAGAATCAAGATGTAGGAGCAATGCATGACTGGAAGAAAAGTGAACACTGGAGAACTGTAGAAGAGATTGTAGCAGCACAAGGTGAGACTGATAAGGGGGCTGTCATTTATTAGCACAGTGCAGGAGGGAGGTGGTTGGCAGATTCACATGGAAACATTTACAAACATAACCCAACCCCCCTGGATGGTATAGGCAACAATTGTATAACCCCCTTCCATCACCCTGCAATAGTTCTCAATTCCCCCTCAATATGTAGTAGTAACCATCCCACCACTTTCTCAAAATGACATACCCCCCACCCCCTACAATTTTGGCAAGCCCATAATGCGCTGATAAATGGAAGCCCCCTTAAATCCATCCATAGTGGCATCATGAGAAATTAATCTTTCCCCAATTTTTTCCATGTTTATTTTTATTCTTTCATCAAATTTCCATAGGAGCATCTTCTGGACTTGAGGCTGGGTCAGGAGATGTTGACATGAGGGATATCAGTAAAACCTCAGCAGGTTCCTCATGGACGTGTAAACACTGTACATTTATCAATGAATACAGAGATTCCTGTGAGATGTGTGGATTACCCAGAAGCTGATCCAACAAACAAACAAATCAAAAATATATTAAAGGACTGATTCATGTCACGCATGACCACTATCTCATGTTTTGACATGTTTTGATGGACTGTCTGTCCATAGCTATATCTGAAACTCCAAATCTAGGTGCCAACTATGCTCAAAAGTCCAGCAATTCACATTATTTTTGACTTTGAAAAATTAGATTTTCAATGTAATTCCAAGCGATTTGGTTGGACAGTGAATTCTTTTGGAAAATATTTCACAATCTTCTTGATAGGGGGTTAAAAACCTAGTTTTTTTACAGACATTGTTTTGGAATATTGCAGTAGCTGATTGGAGATTTAAAATTATGAACATGAATTCTTGAAAGCTACGCTTGACTTCCCAGATTTACTGGTCACGCTTGACATGAATTAGGTGTAAAAAAGGACTGATAGTCTCTCCAGCTACCACAGGGAGCCCAAGCATGTGGTTTATTTTGCTATTTGATAACACATGCATGAAGTGATGTATGTAATTTTTTTCTTCTTCTGTGGTTTCTTTAGGTCAAGAGTTTGCCTGTCATTCTTTACTATTTTGAAAAGTAAATGAGAATTATAAATAGATAAATAATTTCAAAATTTCCAAACTGAGCAGACATTTTGTTTTATCATTGGGTACTGATGGATGGCAAAATAACCAAATTTCCAATCACCCCTTAAAATAAATAAATAGATAATAAATAAATTAGAGGGGTTAAAGGAAGAACAAAATTACAGAGCTTGTATGGAAGAAAATTGGAAGTTTCTGGGATTAGGGGGATCCTTTTACAAATTCCCTCCATGGTAAGGGTATGGATATTATCTGGAACTACACATTCTATAAACAAAACTCTCAACCCACACATTGTTCTTACAGAAGGAGGAAAGCCAAAGAACCCAGAGAAAAACCCTTGTAGCAACAATGCATCAGTTCAAATAAACCCAACTCATGTACTATTAGGGCGCACGCACTAAAACTGTGAACATTAAATAGTACTAATTAGCACTATTTCATACAGAATCCTTTGTTTCCTATTGTTTAATTGTCACTACTTAGTGCTAAAAATTAGTATTTGTTTCACGGATTTAGTGTGAACACTCTATCAGACCCCAATGCAAATCTAATTAACCAACATTCAGCTATCCTCGCTCCACATATAGCCATCATATGATAACATATAGCCATCAGTGCAGATGCGTTGAACATAAGCTTTGTCAAAAGCATGAATGCCATCAATTATTAGACTATTTCAAAGAAAAAATACCATAATTTGAATATTGTAAAAATACGATAAATTCTGAAAAATATTTTAAATTAATATTCAGCTTTATTCATGGTCAGCGGTTTGGTTTCCCACTGTGAGGTCCTGGGTCCTACTACTCGTTTGACCGCCATTTTTGAATTCGTTGTTTTTGTGAAGAATTGAAGTGAATTTAGTCGATAAAAATGGATGCTATAAAATATGATTTTAACATGAACAGAGAGCAAAATAGAAAGGCTACCTTCATAGAATGGCCATTCAACGATGAGAATTGTAACTGTACCTCAGAAAAGGTGAGAATAACAATCATTCTAAGCTTACTATACTTGGCTTGATCTTTTTGGAACAAAAATTCAAGAAAAAGAGACTTAAAACTCCTACTTCTTGTCCAAATTGTTCTGATCTATCTTCCGTTATTTTTAGATGGCTGCAGCAGGTTTTTATCACTGTCCTACTGACAGAGATCAAGATATTGCTCGTTGTTTTGTTTGCTTTAAAGAACTCGAAGGATGGGAGCCAGAAGACGACCCCTGGTAAGTTGTTGTTAGTACTAGAAAACGATTGGGCTATTATTTATTTATTTATTAACAATTTAATGGCAATAAAAGAAAACGAAGAGAAAAGAAAGAGCCATATGGATAATCCGTAAAGGAGTCCTAGACCCCATATAGAAACAGATCACCAGGCAATAATAATAATAGATAATTTAAATTAATCCTCCCTCCCCTAGCAAAAATCAAAAATAATATTAATAATAAATATATAAAATTTGAAATTTGTCTTACCCTAGTGAAACATTAAATAATTCAATATAATTTAATCTAGTCTAATCATCCCTTCCCAACCCCTTATTTGATTGTTTCAATAAAAAATCCTTCACTCTTGACTTAAAAGACTGAACTGTAGTTTCACTCCTAATGTTCTTAGACAACCGATTCCAAGAATCAACTATTCTATTAAAAAAACTATATTTGAGCACATTTGTTCTAGCAGGTTTCTTTTTTAAGGATGAACTATCAAAATGCCTAAGAGAATATGAATTATGGTCAGCAGTATAAAAATCTATATAAGAATTGATATTAATACTAGTTAAGCCATTAAGAGCCTTAAATAAAAATGTAACATCAGCCAACACTCTTCTACTTTCTAGTGACATCATATTTAACTTCCTCAAACGAGTATCATAATCGTCCTCAGTCTTTAGGATAAATTTTGTTGCCCTTCTCTGTACTCTTTCTATCTTATCAATGTTCCTCTTGGTATGGGGGGACCACACCACTGAGCAGTACTCCAAATTAGATCGTACTAAGGAATAATATAGAGTCCTTAATGTCTTTGGATTATCGTATTTATTTTCCGCGCACCCCACCGTTGAGGACCTAAGTTCTTATAAACCCCCGAATAAAATCCTGGACATGAAGATCCCTGTGGAATTCCCTGCTGTTTAAAAACACCCCTGAAGAATTCCAGCACGAAAACACCCCATGACCTCTGAAGAATTCCAAGGACCTCAAGTGGGAAGTGCCACAGCACATTTAGAAGATTCTCTTTTGAAGACTCTTTTTATTCTAATTTTTTTGAATTATATGTTTTTTGTCTTCTTTCAGGAAAGAGCATAAAAGCCATTCTCCAAAGTGTGAGTTCTTGGCATTAAACAAAAGGGAAGAAGATATGACGGTAGAGGAATTCCTAGATCTGGAAACCAAGGGACAAAATAATAGAGTAGTAAGTATGATGAAAATAATAAATATATTGATTTATTAATATAAGATTTGTATGGGATAGGTGTTTGGCAGCATAGCTCATGGGGTCTTAATAAAACCTTTATATGAGCCGAATCTATTGACACTAAAAAAGACTACCATATTATCCATCAGGGTTTAAAATAATGGCCAAACATTGGACAATGTGTGCCTGAAGTGGGAACTTGTCTGCTTTATTATGTTCTCACTATCCCATTATTTACCATTTATTTCTCTTGTCTTCTCTTACCGTCTACTTCTATCCCATTTCATTCCCATTTTTATTTTGCTTCCTCTTCCCTCCCCTTATCATGCCTTTATTTTTCTCTTTGCTTCCTTTGCACTTTGAATTCCTCCTATTCCATCTCATTTCATTCTCACTTATAGTGCATTCCCCTTTCCTCCCAAATTTCCATTATTTATTTATTCATTCATTTATTATTTTTTCCCAAAGAAAAAGATAGCAGAGCTCAAAATCCGTGAGTTTGAAGAAACTGCTGAACATGTTAAGGAGGAAATGAAAAAACTGGTGCCTTGAAAATAAATAAAAAAGACTTTTGCTCTGACCCTACAAGATTGTATAAACTATAATAGAAGGTTTTCACTCTCCTGACAAGGCAGCCACATCGTACCAAATACTTTAGAAGCTTTCTGAATAATTTTTGGATAATAATAGAAAGACATGAAAACGCTCTATATGTATTTACACTAACTTACTGGTCACATGACTCTATCCATCCCCCACCCCTAAAAAAGCAGAAATGAAAGGAGTTACAACAAGCAATGAAGCCTAGTTAATTGAGAAAAAACTTTAATAGTAACCATGGGAATGAACATAAATGAAAGACTGTGATTGGCTGAGATCAATATGGTACTTTCCTGATTAGCTAAACTTGTTTTCAATTTTGTTCAAGTGGTCTCTGTTAGGATATCCGCACAGTGTATATAAATTTATAAATTCCATAAGGATTTGTATGAAATAATGTTGGCTGGCAAGCTTTGTTTATTTTCACATAACTGCTCAATCCATAATTCCATCTAAATGTTTTAACCACACTTTACGACATGTCAATAGCCTCAATAGGAACATCAATTTTTTTAGCTAATTTTTTATTTTATTTATATAAATGTTATTTCAATATGTCATTGTCATGTCAAAGCCTCAAAACTATGAAAGCTCAATGTATAACATTGAGAGTACAAATAAATTGATATTTAACGATATCGTGATTTTAATGGTACAAAGTTTCTTACCTACCCCCCCCCCCTGCGGAAACGCTCAAGCTCCGGCATCCATTGCGAGCAACCCATAATGTCATAACATGGCGGACGAAGTCGAAGCTAAATAGAGAATAAAAGTATCAGTTTTCACTTTCGATTTCTGTAAAATGAAGTCTTCACGATGTTTCTGACTTCCCACGAGAAGAATGCCATGACCAGTGAGTAATTTCTCAGTTTTTTGAAGAGTTTTGATTTTAGAAATGAGTATGTTCTCTTGGAAATGAATTTATTTATTATCGAGTTGATTTATCTCGGTGACGTTTGCTTTTGATTTTGTTATAGGCCGAGGCAACCCGGACTCAGAGCGCCAAAACCTTCTAGATCGTCTCCTCGATGCAGTTAAACAGGCAAGTATATTTATATTGACTTTTAGAAACTGTAAATAGACTTCAGTCCAAGAAAAAAAAACTTCAAAAGTCAGTATAACGATGTCAGACATCCAATCATCAAATCAATTTATCGAAGGTTAATAGTATTTTGCCTTAAACTACTTTACGATTTACGAATTGTCTCTTGGTAGTTGATAACACACATTATTTCACATTTTCTAAATTTGAAATAATCGTCATTATCTTGAACTCAAATATAGATAAAGATTAGGAATGGAACAATAGATGGGGGGGGGGGGGGGGGGGGGGGGGGGGGGGGGGGTCCGTAGGTGGAGTGCTTGCTCAATATTTGTTATGGGTTTACACAACTCCCTCAATATTATCTACTGGTCCATCCCTTACATCCTTACATAACAAATATATTGTTTGTCACATGTCAGATTAGAATAGCATCGATCAATCAATTATTGGCAAAAATGTCAGAAAATTGTACAGTAGTTCAGACAACCACCAATCAATATTTAAAATCTGCAGGGCTGTAACTTGAAAACTGTTTCATTCAAGGATATGAGAACAATTGCTTTGTCTTTTTTATGAAAAAAGTTACATAGTGTTTGTCAAGAAAGAATTCTCTAGTGGGAAAAGAAGAATAAAAAAAAGACTGAGATACTTAGGATATTGTTCATTTTCTTATTTAGTGCCAAGTGAGATATGGTGGTAAGACAGAACTTGCTACTGACACAGACAGTAGGTAAGCTGTATATTTTAAAAATGATTAGAGTGAATTAATGGATCAAGGGGTGGTTAAAGGGGTAACTAGTCACCCCCTATTGCTCATTTTCCTCAGTATATCATTAGTAATAACAGAGGTCCAACCTTTTACTTGCTTTGTTTGGTTACTTGTTACTTTGTAGGGTAGCCTGTTTGCTAGCTCAGTTGATGGCGATATTCAACCATGGACTCAAGAAACCCAAAGGAACAGTTAGAGCATTTATGTGAGTGACTATTTTGACTCATGCTCAAGATATATTACTACCATATATGCTTTCAAAGGTCTTTTTACACAGGGATTTCAGAATAAGCTGATGGCTGCCAGAGCTGCGGCAGTTGCTTCACAATTAACAGTCAGCTAATTTTTCTTTGCTTTAGAAAAAAGTATCATTTATCTATCAGTTCACAGCCAGATACTTCAGACTTATGATTAATATTATCGCTGTTCTTACTCCAAAATATTTTAAAAGCCATGTTCATCCTGGCCTGTATATTATTGGTGGTATTAACTAAAGCTTTCTAATTAGCTTTGTTTGTTATATAGTTAACTATAACTAATATGCATGGCCAGCATGTCTTTTGGGCATTTGTATCCCTTGGAAATGGTTGCAAACCATCAATTAATTCTCACTTGTTCATCGTCCATTATCAGTACATGAAGGTTTTTGTTTGTGCTGATGAGGGTAATGTACTTTAATGTAATATTATGTTACAGGCAAGTAGGCCAAGTTGCTGGAATAACAAAGCAAGAAGAGCTAGAACCAGGTTTGTAATTTAATTGCTATAGATTAATAAGTTTTTACCTCAGTCATACTAGTCATTGTGTACTAGTCATACTATACTAGTCAAATTCCTGCAGCACCCCCAATGATCCATCTCTATCAATTATCTAATGTCCCATCCCTCGTGGAGCGGAGTACTGGTATAATATTTTTTATTATATATTTTTAATAGTTTTCAAGAGTGCTGTTGGCTATATTTCTAACAGCTTTTTTCTTCATTATTTTGTAGCATTCTATAGTTTTATCAAGGAGCATCTCAGCAAGAACGAACAAGACAGATTCCTTGCTTTGCACAATATTACTACTGATACTGGCAGAAGTAAGATGACTTTGATTTCTGCCTACTTGGTTGTCATTATAACCCCCTCCCCCCTCCAAAAACAATGTTGGCCCCCCTTCCTTAAAAAGAGGTTTACACCTTATGCACTAAGAGAAAATCCCCTAAAGAAGCCATTGAAGAGTATACTCATTCCCACTAAACATTACAAGCCCTGCATTATGTAAACAACAAAATCAAACAGACAAATAAATAATAGTACTATTTAACACTGTGGATTCTACTGAATTTAGAAGTTGATTTTGTAAAATTAAAGAACTGGTGTTCCTGTGCTTTTCCACAGACAACCCAATGTTAATATGTATATTCCTTTTTCAGGTAGAGCATGGCTAAGATCGACTTTAAATGAACATACACTAGAGAAGAGTATTCATAATATCCTGGGAGATAAAAAGCTTCTTAGGTATTTTGAGCTATATTATTATATAGGAATATGGATGTGGGGTCCTGTGGTGCTCTGGGTGAAGATTCCATTCCCAATCTTCCTTCCTTTTCTCCACCACAGGGAACCCATAGATCTAGGGTTGGACTTTACATTTTCTTTTTCTTTTAGCTTATATTATGAAGCAGATGCCTTTTTATTGGATGAGGAGAAAGCAAGTATGCTCCCAATGATTGCAGCAGGTACATAGTAATGTTTTCTTGAATGATTTAATGAAGGAGTGAAAAATGAATGGATGAATGAAATTTTTACTAATCTTTAGTTTGATGACTATTAGGGATGAGGGCAAAACAATTGTCATCTTACAGTACCCGATTTAGGGGGGAGGGGTGGTGTTACCCGGTACCCACCACCTCTGGAAGTGAAATCTTAGATTTTGTCCCCAAATATCTCCAAAACTAAAAGCCAAATCACAGAAATAAATGGAATGTCTGTCTGCATGTATGCTAAAAAACATATTTGTGTATTAAAAATTGTCATTACAGACCCCCAGTATTGAGCATTTGAGCAGGTCTCTGAGGGGGGAGGGGGTATGTACCAGAACCCACCACCTTAATTCATAAAAGTGGGTCCCTATTTTAGACCATTGTTTTGACCTCACCCCTTACCGCATTTTCATATTTTTTGAGAATCTGTGAAATACATTAAACTTAAATTTTGATGTCACTTCTGATTTTAATTTTGATAGGTGTTAGTTCTATCTTGTTTGCACTTGGAATTGATAAAGAAGAGCTAAATGTAATAAAACAGGTAGGAAGTGTACAAGAGTTCTTGTTTTTTGCAGTTGGTTTGCTGTTAGTCCCAAGTTAAGATTGACAGTTACTTTGGTGCAATTAAACTGGCACAGATTTAATAGAATTAAAAAAGAAGAACCTCTGGGCTGATCTAAGTCAGGACATGGCTAACTTACAGATAAAACCCTGATACAACCTCTTGGCTGATCTAAGACTGGGCACGGCTAACTCACAGATAAAACCCTGAAACAACCTCTGGGCTGATCTAAGTCAGGGCATGACTAACTCACAGATAGAACCCTGAAACAACCTCTGGGCTGATCTAAGTCAGGGCATGGCTAACTCACAGATAGAACCCTGAAACAACCTCTGGGCTGTTCTAAGTCAGGACATGGCTAACTCACAGATAGAACCCTGAAACAACCTCTGGGCTGATCTAAGTCAGGGCATGGCTAACTCACAGATAGAACCCTGAAACAACCTCTGG